TGGCCTGCATATTTGCCGCTTCCAAAAGTCACACATTCTCCAAAAAAACGAAGTTTCAAACCAAAAACCTCATTTTGGCGGCTACCTTCAACCTAGTACCTATTACTTGACTATTACTTGTATTACCTAAACTATTAGCGAACGATTGACCCGACCATTACCTGAGTGGTCTCCCCCTCGGAAAAATATTTACTCTCTAAAAGTATTGTTGTTGTTTTTTTTTTGTTTTTTTTTTTCAAAATATTGCTTTGCACAAACGCACTCCCTCGCCCCTTGAGCTCTACCGTGGACCTGCCTTCGTGCATTTTTGCCCGCGATCGGAGGCACTAAAAATACAGTAGTGCTTAAGGACATGTCGTCGGTCTGTCGGTCCTAGCAATGTGTCGCTAGCTCAAGAACATTTTGTTGCTAAACGTGCACACGGGCCCCTCATACTACGACAAAATGTTCTCGACCCCATGTCGTTGAGCCCGGGACTGTGTTGCACGGTTGGCGGCTGAATGTTCTTGTAGCTGATCCAAGAGCAAATTTCTGTTGAGGGTGTTACAGCTGTCCTTAGCACCACAGTATTTGGTTGTCAGTGTGGCTGGGCCGTGCACTCGCCGTTTGAGTGCATTTGCTCTCTAATGCGGCGCGGTTGGGGTGTGATGCCGAGGCCCGGAGCGGCCCGGAGCGGCCTGGAGTGTCGGGTGACTGACTCGCGCCCTCCGCGGCCCGGCGGCCCGCGGGACGCCCTGCCCTATTCACGCGTTTGACGTTACCACCGTTACCGACGCGTTGAGACGCGGACTTTCACGAGGTGTAAAACTGCAATGTTTATGCTATGTGCGCGGCCCAACACTATCATGCTGACAACTAGACAGTTTCGAAACTAGGAAGTGATAAAAACAACAGGATGAAATTGAAAACTCGATTGGAAAGGGTTTTACACTCACTTCGGCTCGCACGCTCCGGCGAAAACAAATTGCATTGTTTTACCCACTTTTTTCACAAGATATCGTTCGATACTTTTGGCACCAGTCCACGGCTCGTGTTTCTCACGGCCGCGAGCGCAGCCCCTGCGGCGCCAAGGTAAACATTGCGTGCAGCTGCAGCAACGCGAACAAAATTTTCTCTATTTCTATTAGTTTTTCTGTTAAATAGGCCAAAGTGCACTGTGAAATCACGGCGGTTCGATTGAGGTACATCTTCAACGATTGCCCCCTTTAGGCCAGCGCCCGTGTTTGGTTACTCAAGGCTGCTCGGGTGATCAGAAAAATACTGTCGATGTGCTCTTGTGGTCGATTTGAATCGCGTGGCGAGGAAGGTAGTCTAAGGATAACGGAGGGAAAAGAGAGAGAGAGAGAGAGAGAGAGAGAGAGAGAGAGAGAGAGAGAGAGAGAGAGAGAGAGAGAGAGAGAGAGAGAGAGAGAGATCCAGCACAGGG